ATCCTTGGGCAACCAAACGAGCTTTATTTCTAGTAACAATGCCATGTTCATCAAGTTTGTTTCTAAAAACCCATTTAGTACCAATTACACTAGCATTGTTAGGTCTAGGAACTAATTTCCAAACATCATTTCTTGAAAAATTGTTTAGTTCATCATGCATAGCTAAAACCCAAAACTCATCTTTTAAAGCATCATTAATCTTTTTAGGTTCTAGTTGAGATAAGAAGGCAACATTACCACACTCACTCAAAGCTTTTGAGCGAGTAACAACTCCTTGTGAAGGGCTCCCAATAATTTGTTCCTTTGGATGGTTTGATGCGAATTTCCAAGCTTTAGGAAGTTCAACTTGTTCATGAGCATTGGAGCTATCCACATCCTTTTGAGCTTCTATAGAGGGAGTATCATTGATTTGCATTTGTAAAAAGTCCAATCCTCCCTCAACATCATCATCATCATCTTTCCTAGGTAAAACAACTTGAGAGCCAACATTAGTCTCATCAAAAGTAACGTTTATAGATTCTTCAACAACGAGACTTCGTTTATTGAAGACCTTATAAGCCTTACTTTGAGGTGCATAACCTAAGAAAATACCAACATCAATTTTGGAATCAAATTTATCATGGTGATCTTTTGTATTTAGAATAAAATATTTGCAACCAAAGATATGAAAATAATCAATAAAAGGAGTTTTTCCATAAAAAAATTCATAAGGAGTTTTCTTAAGCTTTGGTCTAATCAAAACACGATTTAAAACATGGCAAGCCGTATTGACGGCTTCCGCTAAAAAATATTTTGGCAAATCAAATGAATTTAACATAGTGCGTGCCATCTCTTGTATGGTGCGATTTTTCCGTTCAACAACACCATTTTGTTGTGGTGTTCTAGGAGCGAAAAACATGTGAGTTATACCATGATGAGCACAAAAATCATAGAAAAAATCATTTTAAAATTCACCACCATGATCATTTCTTATTTTAACAACTTTCAAATCTTTTTCATTTTCAATTCTTTTGACGTGATTAGCAAATTCTTCAAAACAATCATTTTTCTTTACAAGAAATATTGTCCATGTAAAATGAGAAAAATAATCAATAATCACAAAAACATAGAGTTTGCCTCCAAGAGAGGTAACACGCATAGGACCAAACAAATGAAGATGAAGTAATTGCAAAGGTTTAGAAGTCGATACCTCATTGATGGATTTGAAAGAAGATTTTGTTTGTTTACCTTTGGCACAATCCTCACATATGGTATCTTTGATGAAGTGCAAGCTAGGTAACCCTTTTACAAGATTTCTCTTAGACAATTTTGATATCAATTCCATATTAGCATGTCCAAGTCTCTTGTGCCAAATCCAAGGGTTTTCATCAATTACCGCAAGGCACTTCACATCTTGATTCACTAGTTCATTCATCTCAAAAATGTATACATTAGATTTGCGATTAGCAATAAAAATAATTTTTCCATTCATACTAATGATGCATTTATCCGGTTTAAAGGAAATATCAAAACCTTTATCACTCAATTGGCTAATGCTAAGAAGATTGTGATTCAAACCATTTACCAAATAAACATCTTCTATAACAGGTGAGGGTTTCTTACCAATAGAATCAACACCAATGATTTTACCTTTCTCACCACCACCGAAGGAGACGCTACCTCCTTCAATCCTTGATAGGGTTGCAAATAACTCTTTGTTGCCCGTCATATGATGTGAGCAACCACTATCAAGGTACCACATCTCCTTACGTCGTTGCCGTGATGTTCCCTACAAGAGATGAAGATGAAGATGTAGTAACTTTAGGTACCCAAGTCTTGGGTCCTTGGTGGTTAGTAGTATTGGTATCTTTTAGCACCCATATCATTCCATAAAAATCATGGTTGTCTTTAATCCTACAATGAGTACAAATGTGTCCATGTTTCATACAATATGTGCACACAAAATTTCTCTTATGTGTATGAGCATGAGATCTATGAAATCTATTTCTACCATGATGATTATAATTATCATAAACATGAGTGGGTCTAATCCTTCCACCCTCAATTTCTAGTTTCTCAATCTTTGATCTTAATTGCTTATTCTAGAAATCGAGATCTCCTAGCAATTCATCTTTTAGTGCAAGAGAGGTTGTTAATTGTTCTAGCTTGATATCACAAGAAGCATGTAATTTTTTAAAAGAAGAGTATTCTTTTGACATTCTCTTAAATTCAAAGTTCGATTCTTCTAGAGCCGTAGCTATGTCACATTGCATGTAGAAAGATTCACTTTCGGTCTCGGATATTACCTCTTGCTCATGAGCCATGAAACAAATGTTGGGGTCATGAAGAGCAAGTTTGGCTCCTTCTTCATTGCTATCCGAATCACTTGGTTCGGATTCTTCCCATCCGGCATACATAGCCTTCTTCTTCTTGTATTTCATGTACTTCTCCTTGAGCCTTGGGCAATCCTTAGCGAAATGGCCCGGTTCATTGCATTCAAAGCATTTTCCTACACGAGAAGGAAATTTATTGTTAGATCGTGGGTTAAATTTCTTGTTCATTTTTATGAGTCTAGAAATTCTTCTAGAGAGATGAGCCACTTCTCTAGAAAAATCAACTTCACTATCCGATGACGAAGAGGAGTTATCACTAGCTCCTTTGAGAGCTATGATCTTCAACTTTGGTGATGGCTCCTCAACATCCCGTGAGGGAACTTCCTCCTTCTCCTTCCCCTTGAGCTTCTTCTCATGGACCTTGAGCTTTCCGATGAGACTATCGAGAGCTAGAGTAGTAAGGTCATGAGCTTCCTCGATGGTCGTAGCTTTGGGTTCCCACGCCGGAGTTAATGAACGAGTATCTTGTAGTTCATTTCTTGAATGAACAATTGCTGTCGGCCTTCTTGTTTTGATGATGTTTAACAAACAATTTACCACTAATGTTGTTTGTCTAGTATTTGTGTTTTCTTATTTATTATAGACAAACAACGTTGTTGGAGGTTGGATGGATTGCACTTCAACGATGATATCCAAAGGAGGTTGGCGGAATGTCGGGTTGAAGCCTATACAACAATTCAAGTTAAAGATCAAGTTCAAGCTTCATCCGCAACGTGTACCAAGTCAAGCTTATTGAAGATCAAGATCATTGCTTGGGTAATTTAGTGTTTTACTAAGTCTATAAAAACATTTTACAAAGTTTCAAAAGTTGGTTTATGTCAAAACATCAAAATTCAAGTATCTCATATTTTCATGTTTTGGACTATTTTGTAAAATGATAATATTTTTTATTTGGGAGGTCCTTTCTGATAACCAGTCACTGTAGCATGTTTATTATCATGTCTAAAATCATTCCCCAAAGTTTCATATTTTTTGGAATTTATTTGATATTTTTAAACAGCATTTTAAAATCAGCAAAACAGTTTTTGAATATCAGTTTTCGGTCGACCGAACCGGTCGACCGAACCTGAGTTCTCGTGTTCACTGGACGACAGAGAGTTCGTCGGGCGGCCGCCCCCGCCGACC